TATTAATTTTTGGTCCGATTTAGGCAAAACGAGCTTATAGTATCATGAAGTCTTGCAGTGGTATGCTTAGGTTTGGGTTTAATTTTGTTAATTATAGGATCCCAAGCAGGTGGCAGCACCCATCCATCTTCTCTATTGAAATTTGGATGTTTTTTTAATTTCAATAGCCTCGCGTATCATCCTTGGTAGGAATCGGTGTTCTTTTGCGAGAATTTGTGGTTTATCAAAACGAATGTAATGGTGGGGACGATCTTGAACATGTTCGTAGACTGCAGACTTCCCGGAGCGTCGGTGCTTCACGTCAGCTATATGTTCTTTCACGCGGGTTTTTATGGATCTTTTTGTTTGACCTATGTAAGAGAGACCACATTCACAATCTAACTTGTACACTCCTGCATCTTGTAGAGGGATATTACACTTGACGGATGGTAAAAATTGACTAATCTTCTTCGGCGGCTTGTAGTATGTTTTAATAGAAGCTCGCTTCAAGATGTAGCCAACCTTGTCTGTGACTCCTCTGACATATGGTAGTACAGCAGGTACACGCTCGACTGTGGCCGGCTTCACTCGGTCACTGTGACGTAGGCGCGGGACCCGAAGCTTGTTGTCTTGCAATACTTGCTTGACGTGCTGAAGTTCGGCGGCCAGATGTTTTCTGTCACAGATCCCTCGTGCTCTCTGAAACAAAGATTTACCCACGGTAGCTAACTGTGAAGGATGATGGTGAGATTCACCATTTAAATATCGGTTGGTATGGGTCTTTTTTCTATACACAGTGTGACCAATTGTGTTATTAGGATTTCGAATGACTAAAACATCTAAGTAAGCTAAAGAATTATTTGCCTCTAACTCCATTGTGAATTGTATTTTAGAGTTTATAGAGTTAAGGTGGTTTAAAAATGCAGTTACTTTGTCAGATGGTAAAATTGTGAAAGTGTCGTCTACGTACCGCTTGTAGAATCTTGGATTTACAGGAGCAGTAAGAAGGGCTTTCTCCTCGAAGTCCTCCATGAATATGTCAGCGACTATGGGAGATACAGGTGAGCCCATCGCCACACCATCTACTTGCTTGTAGAACTCTTCCTTCCACAATAGATAGCCAGATGTGAGGCAGTGTTTGAGTAATGCTGCATATTCAGCAGGCATGTTATTATATTCTAGCTTCCTAGTTACAATTGATATGCAGTCTTCAATAGGTAGGCATGTGAATAGTGACTGAACATCAAAACTGATCATAGTTTCATTGTCAGCGAGATGTAGGTCTTTTATCTCACTAACAAAATGGTATGAATCCTTTGTGTATGCTCTGGTATGTCCTCTCAGTGGTGACAGTACTTTTGCCAAGTGTTGCGCCAGCTTATAAGTTGGTGAATCGATCTGGCTCACTATCGGACGTAGTGGAGCGTTTGGTTTGTGTATCTTTGGTAACCCATACAACCTCGGTGGTTTGGTACATGATGGTATTAGCGAATTCACGTCGAGATTTAATTTTTCGGAGTGTTTCTTTATTAAATCGCTAGTTGCTTTAAGCGTGTTAGTTGTGGGGTCTGTTTTGACCTTTTTGTATGTACTTTCGTCCGATAAAAGCTGTGGTATTGTAAATTTAGTTTTATTCAATGTGTAGTGTTCGCGTAAATTTAAGAAATCATTATGTGAACCAGTACGGACTGGTAATAGCAAATAAAATTCGCCGATTAGAAGATCTTAAAACCAAGCGCGCAAGATATATAACATCTTTAAATTTCTTGAAGAGATGCAGAGACCATAATCTCATTCCTACGTGTGTCAAAATATCAACAAAAAAGGACATTCGAGGAAGCGCAAAGATCTTAAATCAGGCAAGTAAAAAGTTGTTACGAACGGTGATTCAGCAGAAACGGTTCGATTTACATTTCATAAACAACACCATAGACAATTTGTTCGGTGTACTAAAGACAGTTTTAATGACATTTGATTTTAATAATTGCATCGAAACTTTAAACAAACGAGAAACAGCAAAATACAATGAATGCAAAAATAAACAAATAGAAAAATACCAAAAATTAACGATCAAATCAAATGCCAACCATCTAAGTCAACGTCAGAACGAAACACAACCGTTGACCACAGACGCAAACAATAAACAACGCACGGTCTATAATCTGTCAAAACATACACTGGATGAACCAACAATAAAGGTGTTAGCGAAGGGAATGAATTTCGCATTAACACCGCGAAAAATCCCGTACGAAGAAATTATCTGCAGCGTTGAGGATTGTCTGTTTAAAAATAATATTGGTAAGGAAGATTTGGAGGCTATACGTCAAGATATTTCGTCCTTGTTACGTCGTAGTTCAGTGCCGAAACCAAACCTTCCTAAAGACGAATTTACAGCGTTGATTAACTTACGGAACAGACCAGATCTAACGATTCTCCGCGCGGATCGAAATGCTACGGTAATAATGGACACGTCAGAGTATAATTTTAAAATACTACAGCTTTTATCGGACGAAAGTACATACAAAAAGGTCAAAACAGACCCCACAACTAACACGCTTAAAGCAACTAGCGATTTAATAAAGAAACACTCCGAAAAATTAAATCTCGACGTGAATTCGCTAATACCATCATGTACCAAACCACCGAGGTTGTATGGGTTACCAAAGATACACAAACCAAACGCTCCACTACGTCCGATAGTGAGCCAGATCGATTCACCAACTTATAAGCTGGCACAACACTTGGCAAAAGTACTGTCACCACTGAGAGGACATACCAGAGCATACACAAAGGATTCATACCATTTTGTTAGTGAGATAAAAGACCTACATCTCGCTGACAATGAAACTATGGTCAGTTTTGATGTTCAGTCACTATTCACATGCCTACCTATTGAAGACTGCATATCAATTGTAACTAGGAAGCTAGAATATAATAACATGCCTGCTGAATATGCAGTATTACTCAAACACTGCCTCACATCTGGCTATCTATTGTGGAAGGAAGAGTTCTACAAGCAAGTAGATGGTGTGGCGATGGGCTCACCTGTATCTCCCATAGTCGCTGACATATTCATGGAGGACTTCGAGGAGAAAGCCCTTCTTACTGCTCCTGTAAATCCAAGATTCTACAAGCGGTACGTAGACGACACTTTCACAATTTTACCATCTGACAAAGTAACTGCATTTTTAAACCACCTTAACTCTATAAACTCTAAAATACAATTCACAATGGAGTTAGAGGCAAATAATTCTTTAGCTTACTTAGATGTTTTAGTCATTCGAAATCCTAATAACAAAATTGGTCACACTGTGTATAGAAAAAAGACCCATACCAACCGATATTTAAATGGTGAATCTCACCATCATCCTTCACAGTTAGCTACCGTGGGTAAATCTTTGTTTCAGAGAGCACGAGGGATCTGTGACAGAAAACATCTGGCCGCCGAACTTCAGCACGTCAAGCAAGTATTGCAAGACAACAAGCTTCGGGTCCCGCGCCTACGTCACAGTGACCGAGTGAAGCCGGCCACAGTCGAGCGTGTACCTGCTGTACTACCATATGTCAGAGGAGTCACAGACAAGGTTGGCTACATCTTGAAGCGAGCTTCTATTAAAACATACTACAAGCCGCCGAAGAAGATTAGTCAATTTTTACCATCCGTCAAGTGTAATATCCCTCTACAAGATGCAGGAGTGTACAAGTTAGATTGTGAATGTGGTCTCTCTTACATAGGTCAAACAAAAAGATCCATAAAAACCCGCGTGAAAGAACATATAGCTGACGTGAAGCACCGACGCTCCGGGAAGTCTGCAGTCTACGAACATGTTCAAGATCGTCCCCACCATTACATTCGTTTTGATAAACCACAAATTCTCGCAAAAGAACACCGATTCCTACCAAGGATGATACGCGAGGCTATTGAAATTAAAAAACATCCAAATTTCAATAGAGAAGATGGATGGGTGCTGTCACCTGCTTGGGATCCTATAATTAACAAAATTAAACCCAAACCTAAGCATACCACTGCAAGACTTCATGATACTATAAGCTCGTTTTGCGTAAATCGGACCAAAAATTAATATTCAAAAACTGAAGGTAGCCGGACTAACTGTGACATTAGGACGTTAAACATCTCAGTCCCCCCCGTGATCATGGTTGCTGTAAAGCACCCGAAACGTCGGGAATTAAAAATAAGTAAAAGTAGTGAAATAAACGCGATAAAATCCGTAAATTTAGTTTTATAGGAACTAATATTATAAATAAGAAAGATTTATTTAAGAAGTAAGCAATGCTCTCTTTGTTGTTCATCACTCTGCATACTGAGCTAGCTCCGTCAAATATAATATAATCAAAGCCGTACGGGCTTTGATTATATTATACATGTCTATATAAACAAAGCGTACGGGCGGCGCGTGGTTTGCTGCGAAACGAGCAAGGTCATTCGCGTCGTATTCGGCTTATCAACTTAATCTTAAAACAAAACAAATTAAAATATAAATTAAAACATAAATAATTAATATAATATTTCTATAGTTTGCACACTGTCTTTATAAATTTTAATTTACAATTTTACTATTTTACAATGACGTTATTACATTAATTATTTTACAGTACCTAGTCTCTAGTCGCCACAGTAATATATTCATTATATACATATATCATTAAAATATAGATGACATTATCGGGGTATTAAGAAGTGCTGAGCCCGATGACATTCCTATATTTGTGGCAAAAGATCTACATAAGTTGCCACCCGTTACATTTGACCATGTCGACGCTACGCGTCTATTGAAGGATATTCTTTTGCTTCAGAATCAGGTACGTGACCTACAAGGGAAACAGGACGAATATATGACAAAAAAAGATTTTGAAAAATATGTTGACAAAGAAAACAATCCGGATACATTGTATGGAGAAACGAGGAAAATGGAGCCTTGTGTGAATAACAGGAGGGGCGGCTTTTGCCTGCAAGATAGTTATGACTCAACAAGCGGGCCGATACACCGCCGAGCATATTTATGCAAGAACGAGTTATTGCGCACCCATCTCCTTCCTACGCGAGAGCTGCGGCGGTGTCTACCGGTGAGCCGCTCTCTGTCGCTCCCGGGCAGAAACGGCAACACGTGGAGGCCCACCGCGGAAAGGAGGCCCACCGCGGAAAGGAGGCCCACTGCGGAGATCAAGAATGCACTTCGCACGTGCCGAACGTCGAAGCGGTGGCGCGCGCGCCGCCGTCGCCGTCTTCGCTGCCAGGGGTTGCGGCGGTGTCACGCGCGATCATAACGGGCGGTGATGGGGAAGCCGAGATACAAAATAATAGTGAAGGAGAATGCGTTCAGGTCGTAAGGCGTAAGACGTCACGTTTTAAAGGCATGCGGGCAAAGGCTTCGATAGATCCGTCACTTAAATTAAGGGCAGCCGATGTGCAAATCCCGCTTTTCATTTATAATGTCTCAAAGGAGAATACAGAGCAAGATGTTGCGGATTATGTATTCGAAAAGACACATATTCGTATTGTGCCAGAAAAAGTACATATGAAATCTTCAAGGGATTATATTTCTTTTAAATTCTATATACCTAGGAGTAAGTTGTCCTTATTTAGTGACGATAAATTATGGCCGGAAGGCATATATTTTAGACGATTCATAATATTTAGAAATGTGAAAAAGATACTGTTGTATCAAAAGAACAACATAAATAATGGGTCAGGACAAAAATAGTCATGAACGTTGGACATTAAAGCTTGTTAGCTTTAATTGTAAGTCCCTGAAGCGATCGGTAGACAGTGTGAGGGTGTTGTGTGAGGGTGCCTCGGTAGTAGCATTGCAGGAGACCTGGCTAATGGACCACGACCTCTCATACCTCAGCACCGTTCACGAAGACTTTGAAACCACGGGTACTACTGCTGTAGATTCGGCATACGGGCATTTTGAGTGGGCGACCACACGGGGGTGTTGCGCTGTTATGGCGTAAGAATGTGTTTTCTTCGGTGTCTGTAATAAAATGTAATAGTGTGAGGCTGTGTGCGATTAAGTGTCAAGTACGTGAACAAGCTATGCTTATTTTTTCCGTCTATATGCCGACAGACTGTGTCGAGAACCTTGCGGAATTCACAGAGTGCCTAAGTGAAATTAACGCAATTATCGAGGAATGTGACATTAGTATAGTTTTTATGTTAGGCGACTTTAATGCACACCCGGAGGAGCTGTTTTTTAATGAAATGCTTAGTTTTTGCGATGAGCAGACGTGGGTATGTGCTGACTATGAAATGATGTCAAGAAAATCTAATGTATACACATACACCAGTGATGCTCATGGCTGCTCACGATGGTTGGACCATTGCCTTGTAACGTGTATGGCTAATAAATATATTGAAAGCATACACGTAAGAAACGATGTGACGTGGTCTGATCACTATCTCTTGGAAGTGGACTGTAAAATTAGTTTAGGTTTCTCGCAGGTACAGCCCATCCAGTCTAAAAGTACAAATAGGGTAATTTGGGGGCACAGGGATAGTCAACAGATTAACCTATATTCAGTATATTGTAATAATAGATTAAGATTAGTAGATTTTCCTGTAGAGTTAAAAAATTGTTGTGATAAATTCTGTGATAAATCTGAGCATAAATTAATTATAAATAAATTATACGAGAATATTATAGGTATATTGCAGGATGCTGCAATTTATAGTCATAAGAGTGTACAGCGTAACAAAACGCGACAGATAGTGGGATGGAACACGCATGTGAGGCCGGCTCACGACAGAGCTCGTCTCTGTTTTCTGTCGTGGGTACATGTTGGAAAGCCAACGTGTGGGGCAGTATACGAGAATATGAAAGAGTCACGTAAGGCTTTTAAAAGCAAACTCAAATGGTGCCAGGATAATGAAGAACAAATTAAAATGAATATACTGGCATCCTCGTGTGAGGCTAAGCAATTTGGTAAATTCTGGCAGCACACGAACAGACTGAGTCCAAGGTCGAGTCTCTCAGCTCAAGTGGGAACCATGAGTGGATATCGGAATATAGCGAACCTATTCATGTTGCAGTTTAAGGTGGAACCGTGCAGCGTTAGTTATATGGTGAATGATGGTGACGCAAGGGACAGTGTGATTATGGGGATAGCCCGCTGCGATTCACAATCGCCGAAGTTAAATCAGCTATAAACAATATGAAGAGTGGGAAATCACCAGGTCACGATGGCCTCAGCGTCGAACACCTCAGATATGCGGGTGTGCACCTTTACAGAGTCCTCAAACTACTCTACAACCTATGTGTTAGTCATGGTTACTTGCCTGATACAATGATGAGGACAGTGGTTGTACCTATCCTTAAGAATAGGACGGTCGATGCAGCGGATGAAACCAACTACAGGCCGATATCCTTAGAGACAATCTCGGCTAAAGTTCTGGATAGTCTGCTTGATACACAGTTAAGTAAGGCAGTAAAGTTACATGACGCACAGTTCGGGTTTAGGCCCGAACTATCAACGGAGAGCGCAATACTGTGTCTCAAGCAGACTGTGCGGTACTACACGGACAGAAAAACTCAGGTTTATGCGTGTTTCCTGGATTTGTCTAAAGCCTTCGACCGTGTGTCTTACAGAATCCTATGGCGGAAACTAAAACAGGAAAGTAGTTTAAGACCGGAGTTGGTTTCACTGCTGGAATATTGATACGGTAATCAGACTAACATAGTTAGATGGGGTAACGCCTTTAGTGACCCCTATAAACTAGAGTGCGGAGTGAGGCAGGGAGGATTGACGTCACCCAGGCTGTTTAATTTTATGTTAACAGACTGATTGAGAGGCTCAGCAGACCAGGTGTCGGTTGCTCAATAGACGGTGTTTCGATGAATAACTTTAGTTACGCAGACGACATGGTTCTGTTGAGCCCCTCAGTCAGAGGGCTTCGTAAACTGTTGAGAATTTGTGAAGAATATGCCGAGGAGACTGGACTCATCTACAACTCAAAAAAGAGTGAATTTATTGTCTTCAGAGGTAAAAACAAACCACTTGACTTCAAACCACGTATCCAGCTATGTGGCACGGCTCTGAGACAAGTGGCTGAGTTTAGGTACCTCGGACACATTGTAACTGAACGCCTGGATGACGACAGCGACATTGAACGAGAGCGCCGAGCGCTGTCGGTTCGGGGCAATATGTTGGCTCGCAGATTTGCACGTAGTACGACACAAGTCAAGTTAACTTTGTTCAAGGCGTATTGCCAATCCTTTTACACGTGCAGTCTGTGGACTAACTATACGCAGCGAGCCTACAGTGCTCTGCGTGTTCAGTACAACAATGTGCTGAGGATAATGTCGATTAGGCCTCGACACTGTAGTGCGTCGGCAATGTTTGCGGATGCTCGTGTGGACGACTTCTACGCGATCATGCGCAAGCGTGCTGCGTCCATGATGAGCAGGCTTTTAAAGAGCTCCAACACCCTTCTCAGCACATTGGCTGTGAAGCTGGATAGCCCTCTCTGGAGAATTTGGAATGGTGCACACACCAGCACCAGAAGAACCTCAACTGGGTTTCGCTATGTGAGGCTGGGTGTAGGTTAAGTTACTAATATAGGATAAGTACCATTGTTACTAACATTTTAATATTTAATATTAATTTATATTTTATTGTATAACTAACAATAAGTTAAGGTTTGTTTTACTAACAATCTATGACTATTGTTGGTCTAAATAAAGGATTTTATTATTATTATATTATTATTATATAATATATTGTAACATTTAATGTATTGTACATTATTAAAGGAAATGCATGAAATAATAATTTAAAAATTTATGTTAATAATATTAAAAGAGAGAAAAAAAAGTAAGTATATACAAAAAAGAACTTATAAGCTATATAAAGTCTACTAAAATTAATTAAAAATATAAAGTGGATATTACACTTCACTTCTTTGTTATATCTATGGGATATTACAACTAAATTAGCGTTGATAAGTAAAACTTGTAACAGGGAAAGAAGAATGCAAAATTAAAATATGATAATAAAAAAGTGGACCTTATAGCTATACTAAATCTAATATGTAAAATTAACAATGTGCAGAGATGTTATAAAAAATATAGAATAAAACAGGTTGGGCATGAAATAAAGTTAAGAGAAGAAAAAAAATTATGTAAAAAGGATATAAATCAATGTATTCCTAACTATTAAAGTCAACGACAATTTCATTTTTTTTTGAGCTAGTGCTTAGTTTAGCTAGCCACTGCACGGAAAACAAACTTATCACGGAATGGCGAAAAGGGATATGTTTTACAAAAAAAATTCACTATTAAAAAACTGCTTATCTAAAAAGTTTGAAATTTCACCCACAGTAAGAGCATGAGTTTGTCCTCTGCAAAAAATGAAGTCGGTCGTTACTCAAAAATAAAAGTTATTAGAATCCAAACTTACAAGATGTGGGAGCCCAGCTGCAAAAGTGTGGTTATTCCGAGGATGTACACTTCCGACTGAAGATGCATATATTTTCGGAAAGAGCTTTCCTGGACTCCTGGTTCGCGAAACCATTTACCACGTGGTTTTCGTTTTTCCTCTAATAACTCAGGTGTCCTTTATCCAAAAATTCCAAATTTTTGGAGGATGATGGTGGCGGTGGCGTGAATTGTGGAAACGTAACGCGGAAGATGGCACACAAAATTACTAAAAAAATAGCAGGTTGTGGCGACTACTCGAGCGCTGCAAGCGATTTACTGTTTTGCTAATATGAGAAAAAACGGTTTTTCACTTAAAAAATCACTAAAAATTGTTTTGCGGCCAAAAAAAATTACACCACTAGATGCGTCTCGTTAATACGCGAACTGGTAACCATATCAATGTTAAAAATCTTTTATGTTTTAATAAATAGATTGACTTGGCAATCGCACTGGTCAACCTAATTAGTTGTGAGATACATTGCGTTTTCATGCGATGGCCAAGTCAATTATTTATTTATTTAAAACATTAAAGATTTTTAACATTGATATGGTCACTATAAGATGTTGTTAGGTTAGCTAATCTGCCGTCCGAAGCAATAATGCCGTTATCTCGCATCTGGTCGAACGTGTGCATCTTGATATGTTTTCACTAGAGGGTAAACATTACCTCATCATCGTTGACGCTCATACCAAGTGGATTGAATGTTATTCTATGCAGTCAACAGACACCTCGTCGATTATTATAAAATTGGAAGACGTTATGAATAGGTTTGGTTTAATGAAAGTATAAGTAACGGACAACGCGACAAATTTATGTTCTAATGAGTTTAACGATTTTTGTATTATCAACCGAATCAAACACATAACTAGCCCTCCTTATCATCCGACCTCGAATGGACAAGCGGAAAACAGTGTTAAAACAATAAAAAAAGGATATAAAAATAATTCTAACCGAAAAAAAAAAACCTTTTGTTTAGTTATCGTAACTCCGTTCATACAACAACAGGGTTTTCTCCTGCTCAATTGATGTTTGGCCGTTCGTTACGTTGTCGTTTCGATCTGTTGCGAGGCACGAAATCGCTTGAGTCACAAAACTCACCTTTAACATTGTCTTTTAAATCTAATCAAAATGTTTGCTCTAAACAGATCTCACAAACTAGAAACTGTGGAGGACAACGCAGTGTTAAATTAAGGAGATCAAGTGTTGGTTAAACATTAATTTTGTAACGGTAATAAACATACATGGTAAAAAAGTATTGTTCAAGAAAAAATTTGCAATAGAATAT